CTACGCGGGCGGGGGAAGAGTCAGGCTGTCACCCGATGGCCCGGCTACCTCCAACCCACAGCCAACCCACAACCCTCTTGTCCCTTCTCTGGGCAACTGAATGGAGCAAGCAGGATGTTTTCATGGCCGGGCGCCTTTCCCCGTTGCCGATGAGGAGTTCTGTTCGGCAGATTATATTCCCCAGTGAGAGAAATATCCGCTTCTAACCTAGGATCACAGTCACAGCCTCCCCATTCAAGAGCTCCAACTTCTAGCCCACCGCCCCACGCCCGTCCCCTGGCCTCTTGGCGTCGTCCTCCTCGCCCGCCCGGTTGGAAGACCCCCTCCCCCCGCCGCCTACCGTACAGGTTGTCCCTGAGGGTGGAGATGTTGAAGCCCGTGAAGGAGGCGTTGAAGGTCTCGTTGCCGCCGTGAGAGACGGCGATCTCCCGAGGGGAGACGGTGAAGAAGCTGACGAAGATGGTGACCAGGACCAGGTTGACCAGGAGGAAGATGAAGAAGGCCGCCTGGGTGTAAATCTGGGCGCCCACTAGGCACACCAGCAGGCAGAGTAGGAGCACCAGCGAGCTGTAGAGGAAGCTGTACAGGTAGCCCTGAGGGAGAGTCTTGAGGCCTGGCGGCTCCGAGCCATCTGGGCCCGGAGGAGGAAGAGGAGAGAAAGAGAGAGAGAGAGAAAGAAGGGGGAAGGGACTTCAGGAGGAGAGCCACACCTTTGTCCGGAGCAGAACGGGATGGACAACCGGCCGCCACCCTCCTCCGCGCTCTCCGCCCCAGACCTGGCGGCCTGAGGCCGGAGGCTCACCTGCTCCGAAGACATCCAAGATGGCTTCCACCAGCCCGAGAACGTAAACCCCGCAGGCACAGACGTTAGCCAGGTAGAACATGAGGCCGATGCTTCCCCCGAACTCGGGGCCCAGAGTCCGGCTGATCATGACTGGGGGACGGCGGGGGGGGGGGGAGGCGGGAGTTAAGGAAAACGAAAAGAATACACAAACACACACACACACAAACACAAACACTCTTGGCCCTACCGAGGCAGAGATGGAGACTCCGGATCTGAGGGTATCTTTTCAAAGCTTGAACCGACCAGTGGAATTAGTTGCTTCCTGCAAAAGCTCCCGTCCCGTTCGCTTCCTCTTTTAGGTCCTACGGGACGGGCCAATCACCTCTGAAACGTGGGCCTTACTCCGGAGTCAACCCGGCTTTCTCAATCGTCCTTGTCTTCTGGTAGT